TGTAATCTCACTTCCCTTTCATTTAATGCTAAGAGTACAATCTCCCTCTACAAATTTTGTTTAGAAAATGAAATCRTTTTGTTGTTGCGTGCAGAGTATTCGTGGCCGTAAAGCCACTCTGGAGGAGCTGCAGTCAGTTCATACGGAGCGCCACGTGTTGTTGTACGGAACGAACCCGCTCAACAGACTCAAACTGGACAACCGCAAACTGGCTGGTAGGTTTTCCTTCAGTTTTGRAACGTTTGTAGCATTTCAAAATAAGGGTCACAAAAAAAACCCTGCTTTATTAAAAGTGAAATGAACAGGTGAACACTTTCTGTTTTCATAGCATCATCATTAGAAAATGTTTTATTTAAAATTATTTTTTATGGTTTTGTGACTCTTATTTGGAGAGGGTACTCATGAAAAATACGTTTGGGCTTCAGATTCAGTCGTAGGAAATGCTTAGTTTGTGGTTGAGTAACCATTATGTGAAGGTGAACAGGTGAAGAATTTTTCGTTGTCTCATCTTTTTTTTTATTCTGCGATGCATTCATAATTTAAAGACATTTTTTTAAACAGTAAATCAACTTCATAAATAAAAATAAACCACTCTGCGACAGAAGTTTGAGTAAATCTGGCGTCATTTTCTCCATGTTTCTATTTTCTCAGGAATCCTCTCTCAAAGGATGTTTGTGATGTTGCCATGCGGGGGTGTTGGGGTAAGAGAAAACTTGCATTTCTAAGTGAAAACCGTTCGTCATGTCTCCATTGTTGTTTTAATGAAAGATGGTATGATTTTCAAAGAGAGGCAACAAAGAAAGAAAAAGTTGAAGAAAATTACAAGAAARACGATCAAGCGCAGCCCCGGCTCTGTTTTACGCACGACAGCCTGAGTTGAACCGTGACAAGTCAGACTAATGAGAACAACATGTTCGTGTTCAGGGATGGAAAAATGTATTTTAGATTTTTATTGTGCAAGGCAGAAGGACAGTAATGCCAGAGTTTGCATGAACCAAGAAAAAAAAAGAGAAAAAAATTAAATGTTTGAGTCACATCAGTGCTTGAATTTTTCTTTTTTTTTCTTTTTAGGGATGATGTTTGTTACACATTCTTCCACACTAACCAATAGTCATTTATTGACAGGTTGATAATGACACCATCTGGAACGAGTCGCACACCTCCACCGCATCGCGCATGGCGGCGGGCAGCGTCGTCGAGCTGTCCTTCAGGGTGGCCAAGGGAGAGCTCAAGGTTAGAACTGAAACCTTCCAGTCATTTACTATGAGCAATATGTAACTGTAGTATTTGAATAAGTTAAAACGAGTTCCTAGCTATAAAAAAAACCCACCTTGCAACCTTCACTACAACACACACACATGCACACAGTTTCAACCGTTTTCAAGCACTGACTCGTACCTTTGTCATTTTGGAAACGTAAATATGTTTGCTGTTTTGGCCTTTACAAGTGTCAGAAGCTACGTTTACGTGGACGTAAGTAATCGGATTAAACGGTCGTTCAGAATAAAAATGCATCATGTAAACAGCTCGTTTGGATTATTCTGATCCGATTGAGCTCAGTCCGAATGAATTTTTAATCCGAATGAAAGGGGTGGGTTATGCCGATTGATAATCGGAATGACGTGCATGTAAACACATAATCGGATCATTTTATTCTGATTGTAGAAAACTGACATGTGTGCGCATGTCTGCTGACTTTCATTCACCTTGTTCTGCTCTTAGAGGAGGCAGGGCAGCAGCGCTTCAGCTGTGCTGCGCCGTGCAGAACTTTTCCTCCTCGCTCTCTTAACAGATGAAAAAGGAGACAAACAGCAGACGTCGCTTCGCAAAAAATAAAAATAAAAAACACGTATTGCTTCATCTGCAGCCCAACCGAGGAGTAACGACGTCTCTACCATCAATAAAAACTGACACGGGTTCGTCCTGAGCGCACAGAAGAGCTTTGTTTACGRTTGTAATATGGAAGTAGAGCTGAAAGTTTACAACGCTGTCTGGACTTTTATTGTGAATAAAACTCCGGTGCATGTAAACACTTTTCATGATCGGATTGTGTCCATGTAAACAGTACATTCGGATTAGTTAATCCGAATACATTTCAATCCGATCAAAACATTTTGTGCATGTAAACATAGCTAGAGAGAATTATCAACTTACCTCTAATTTACACTACATGTGGTTCCGCTCCACTCCTCTGCGCTGTTCGCCGCCATTCGTTTGCACCCCAATTTATACAGCGTCCGCTTTGGTCTGCTCCGGTCTGCTCCGGTGAGAAGCACAGAGGAGGTCCGAAAAGCGTGTGCAGGAAATGTGAGATCACGCAATAAATCCAGTGATGAACGTGGAAGGCAGAGCAAAATAATTCATTCTGTGGACTCCAAACACAGCTGARACTGTGTCGCTGTCGTCTTTTTGAAACTTCTGATTTCAAAATAAAATCCACGTGCATCGTGTGTGGACATATGCTGCACGCTACATGTTCCCATCTGCTTCCCAAATACATTTTGACAGCATTTGTGTGTAAATATGCAATATATTTATTAATACAGCTAGGTTTTCAGCAAAATGAGTCTGCCTTTTTTTATTGTTTTGAAAATACGAATGCTGTGCTCGTTCCTTTTCCTGTTGGTGCGACATGATCTTTGTAGATTGACTTGGGCGCAGCTCTGGTGTCCGGCAAAAATAGGACTGAATCTAAATTTGGCAGATCACTGTCCACCGCCATGCGGGGCCAGTGTACATACTCTCACTGATTATATGGTTGCGTATTTGCAGCGGAAGTCATAGCGGAGCAGAACCATAGTGTAAATTAGGGGTTAGAGCCTTTAGGATTTGTAC